GAATATGTATTTTCAAGCATATTTTCCTATTATTTGCTTCACACCTTAAAGTATCATCGTGTCATTCATTTTGAAAATGCTAACCCATGTTATATGGTGAACCTTTGGTTTTTGTTGTATAAAGTGTGCTTCGAGTGCATTGCACTTTCCCCGTTCATGCAAATATGACTGACATGTATCGTCCATGCTATGATTTGTGAGAGAACGAACGTTAACCTTTTTGCACTTGGTATGACCTTGCTTGCGTATAGTCTCATAGGTGTATTGGATTTGTGAGTAAGCTTTATGTTGTATTTTCTGCAGAGCATGCTAATTGATGCTGCTATGCCTTATCTTGATTAGCAGAGTTCAATTATACTGCATATCTAGACCTCTATGCTTAAGTTCACATTAAGTGTTATGGCCTCAACTCTCGCGCTTTCCTTGAAACACCTATCAGAACCCGGCTTCTGAGAACGATGAAAATTCGTTTCCAGTGGACGAGCGAAATCAGGGTGATGAGGTTCTGGCGCTGAAGACGCCAGTCAATCTCGGAACGAAGAAGCAACAGGTAACTTTTACTCACTCATCTGAGTGTTCAAGTCGATCCGGACATCATTAGATTGTCATATTTTTCTGCAGCGTGCATTTTTTCAGCATGCATTTTCATGGATCTTATGCAATGAATTTGAATTTCAGCAATATTGTCGAGTTGTCCATCGCATTACCGGAATGCAAGTCAAGTAGCGTTCGGATTGTGATGCCATGCTAAGGCACGATCATAGGCTGCTCAAAATTCAACATATAGGGGAAGTAACTCATTTTTTGAATCTAACTGGGGCAATCCTTCGTAGATAGATAAAGACACTCGTCGAATGCGAGAAGCGGCCGGCGGTCTTGATGATGCACTTGACAAGCAGAAAAAAAGGGGTGTCGACCGTTCCGAACAAGCTAAAGGCACTAGAGGATACCAGAAACACCAGCGAATGCTCGAGAAACAGGTGAACTCTACTACCTTTGTGATTTCTTTATCAAATATGTTCACAAGTTTTTGTGGGCGGGCATTAATGTATTTCATGCGTATATTACCCATGCATGTAAATGTACAACATCTATATGCACACACACACACACACACACACACACACACACACACACACACACACACACACACACACACACACA